ACACTTCAATCATTCTTTTCCTTAATAAGAAAGACCTTTTTGAGGAAAAAATAAAGAGGAGTCCACTAACTATCTGTTATCCAGAATACACAGGTAAGGATTCATGAAAGATTTCATTGGAGGTACACACATTACTTAAATCAACACTTCGGTGACGTTCATACAACTGCCTTTTGTTTTGAATGATGCATGGAGAGTGTTCACTGGTAGTGGTATCAGCATTAAGCATGTGATTAAGATCTCTTAAGTCTAAAGTGCTATTTCAGACATATTCAAGTTTTCTGTGTTTATTTTAAATTTCTGTCCTTATTTTTTGAGGAAAATAAAGAAGGGTAAAAATTTAAGTTCCATATGTAGTCAAGAAAGTACAAAGATAAGTTACAGTGCTCAAGAAACTGACATTTAGTTGCAGAGGGAGAGACACATAAATAATTTATTGTAGTATAAAATGTGCATCAGTCGAAGCAGAATGGAAGTGATTACTTCTGATGAGGACAGTGTAGTCTTTTTCTAGAGGAAATGACACTTGAGTGAGCTACTAAAAAGATGAATTAGAAATGATCAGGCAGATGAGGGAATAAAAGCATTTTAGAAAAGGGGAATTACATTATGAAAATATGGAGGTAGAAAAATGGCATGCCTTTTTCTGGAATTTGGTATTCCTGGAGTTTAAAGTGGTAGGGAAGGAGTGATTGGAGAGATGGTCAGTGATCAACTGATGGAGGGCCGACTCTCTTGTGCTGAGACAGTGATGAACAACTGGAAGATTCTAATTGGGTACATAATATATTAGAAACTGTGCTTTAGAAATATTATGCAATAAATGACAATAAAGCTTGATAGTAGGGGGGTCGAATTGAGTAATAACTCAATTAGGGTACAAATAAAAACTTCTGGTGAGGACCAAGGAATGTATCATAGAAGCCAAGGGCAAGAATGTAGACAGGTCTCAGAATGGAATTAGTAAGCTATCAGGTACCCTAAAAGCTACTGTTTTCTCCTCAACTCTTTTCTCTCCTTCTCTCTATATATCTTTTTTTTTTTTTTTTTTT